AGCCACCTCCTGTGCCCCAGCGGCAGTGCGGACAGGAAGGGGTTAAGCCCTTACGATGCATTGTGCCCCAAGCCCAGGGAACCTGACTGCAGGGGCTTCAGCGAACCCCAGCACAGGGGTGGCTCGGCAGGCGAGGGTGCCTAGGGGACGGAGCAGCCCCACTCCCCCTGGGGGCAGGACCTAGGGCAGGGGGCTGGAGGGTGAAGAGGAAGCTGCTGTGGCGCCCGCAGGGTCAGGGCACAAACAGGCTGGAAATCGCTCCCCCCCCCCGTCACTCCAGGGCTTAGCTGAGGGGTGAAGAGGCTTCCCCGTGCCAGCGCTGTGTGGGGCTTTGGCACATGCAGGGCTTGGCTCCTCCTGGCCAGTGCCCCAGGCCAGAGGGTCTTGCGCTTTCTCAGGGCGCTGGCTCAGCCAGAGGCAGTGGGGGAAGGAAGGAGCATGCCAGCCAGGCTGTTGGTGAGCTGAGAACTCTGACCAGCGCTGGGAGTGGGACACGGACCACTGGGGGGGGATGTGGGGCAGCAGCAAGGCTTGGGGGCGGGGGGTGAAGGGGCAAAGCAGGGAGGACAGCAAGAGGGAGAGCACGTAAAAGGTCGATGGGTGGGCAGCAGAGGCAACACGTAACCGGCCGCCGCCTGGCGCCTGTCTGCACGCACCAGCCACCGCAACTCGCAGCCAGTGCTGGCCGGAAACGGGACTGTGGGGGAGGGGAGGGGTCCTGCTGGCTGAGAGCCAGCACACAGCGCGGGCTCTGCTGATGGACCAGCAGGGGAGTGGCCAGCCCTACGCATTGCAGCTTTGCCCCACCACCAGCCTTGCACACCCGTCCCCATCGTCGGCCACTGGACCCCCCCCCCACTCACCGCTGGTGGGCAGGCGGCTGGTGAGCAGGGATGCGTCCAGCAGCAGGACCCACCAGTACTGATGTGGGGGAGACAGAAAATATGGGACAATTTGCCTGTTTTTAAGAAAAAGTCGGGACACCTGCAGGAGGGGTTAAATATGGGACTGTCCCTTTTAAAACGGCACGCCTGGTCACCCTATGTTAAATGGTCACTATCTAAATAAATGTGTTTTGCTAAAGCCAATTGCAAGATAATACATCTGGAAACCAAGAATGCAGGTTATACCTAAAGGATGAGAGACTATTTTGGAAAGCCATGACTCAGAGAAGGACTTAGGGTCATCACAGATAATTGCCACAGCACAGCACAGTGCAATACCATGGCCCAAGGGTTAATGTGAACCTCGGATGTATCAACGGGACAATATCAAACACATGTAGCGAAGTGATCTTGCCTCTGTATGCAGCGTCAGTAAGAGCACTTCTAGAATACTGCGTCCAGTTCAAGGAGGACGTGGAAATGCTGGAAAGTTAAAAGGAGGACCACAGACATAATCCAGGGACTGGAAAGCAATCCTTATGTGAGCTCAGTTCATACAGTTTATTGACGAGATAACAACCACTGTGTGTAAGTACTTAAACATGGATAAGACATCTGGTAGTAGCAGGGCTTTTCAATCTTGCTGACAAGGCATAACATGGTACAATGGCTGGAAGTTAAATTCAACCTCAAAATAAGATGCAATTTCCTAACAGTGAGGGTAATTACACATCAGTCCAGCTGACCAGGGGAGGTGGTGGTGGACTCTATCGCTTGGAGTCTGTAAAGTGAAATTAAATATCTTTCTAAAAAGCTATGTTTTAATCCAGCCTCTGGGAGATTTTCTACAGCCTGTGTAGTCAGACTGAGTGGTCGTGGCGGTTCCTTCTGGCCTTGGAGCCTGTGAATCCCCCTGTTCATTCCCTTCTTTCAGCAAACCCCAGAGAGGTGGGGAAAACAGGAGTGCATACATTGCCCTCAATATGCTCATATCACTTGAAACTCTGCCTTAAGACAAAGAGAATCAAATCTCATGCATCAGGTCTTTAGCTCATTGCCCGCCAGGTTCGGAAGGATTTTCCCCAGCTATCCTCCCAATGCACAATTAGCCAGATGTATTTTAGGGTTTGGTTGTTTCTTTGTCTTCCTCTGAAGCGTCAGAGATTGGTCACATATGGAGATGGGACACCAGATGGGGAGGTCCAGCGCTCTGAGGTGGCATACAGAATCCTCTCTCTTAGACTCTTGCTCCCACACTCAAGGTTAAACTAATCACCAAATGTCATAGTTTCATAGATTCCAAGGCCAGAAGGGACCATTGTGATAATCTAGTCTGACCTCCTGTAGAACACAGGGCAGAGACCTCCCCCAAAATAATTCCTAGAGCAGAGCTTTTAAAAAAATAAAAAAAAATCCAATCTTCATTTTAAAATGGTCAATGATGAAGAATCCACCACAGTTCTTAGTAAATTGCGCCAATGGTTAATTACTCTCACTGTTATAAATTTGCACCTTATTTCCAGTCTGAATTTGTATAGCTGCAACTTCCAACTATTGGATCGTGTTACATCTTTCTCTGCTAGATTAAAGAGCCCATTATTAAACATTTGTTTCCCTTTCTAGACACTTATAGACTGTGATCAAGTCACTCCTTAGCCATCTCTTTGTTAAACTAAATAGATTGAGCTCTCTGAATCTATCACTATAAGGCAGGTTTTCTAATCCTTTAATTGTTCTTGTGGCTCTTCTCTGGACCCTGTCCAATTTATCAACGTCCATCTTGAATTGTGGATGCCAGAACTGGACACAATATTCCAGCAGCCGTCATACCAGAGCCAAATATAGAAGTAAAATAACTTCTCTACTACTCGAGATTCCCCGGCTTATACATCCCAGATCGCGTTCGCTCTTTTGGCCAGAGTCACATTGGGAGCTCATTTCAACTGATTAGCTCCTGATCTTTTTAAGTATCACTGCTTCGTAGGGTAGAGTCCCCCATCATGCAAGTATGGCCTACATTCTTTGTTCCTAGATATTTACATTTAGCCATATTAAAACCAATATTGTTTGCTTGTGCCCAGTTTACCAAGTGATCCAGTTTGCTCTGAAGCAGTGATCTGTCCTCTTCAGTATTTATCACTCCCCCAGTTTGTGTGTCATCTCTGCAGGTGGGAAGGAATTTGTTTGCTGGTCAAACTGGAGGTGTTACCCTCTCTCTGCAGCAGGGGCATGGACTACCTGCTAGGAATATCTGGACATATCTCATTAAACCAATTCCCTGCCACTCCATGGGCATTGGTGGCACCTCAATCTTTCCTGTTCTCTGCATGTGGCACACAACAGTTTGGTCTCCTGAGGACTGAAATGTTTGTGTGTAACTGGGCTCAGTATAGGCGTATCTGGGCAAAGTTTAATGGCCTGTGACATATAGGAGGTCAGACTATATGATATAATGGCTCCCCTTCTGGCCTTAAGCACTAGCACCACACAACTAGGCCATCACTCATCTAATTTACAACACTGAAGTCTGGTTTTGGTCTGAAAAGCAAGTACATAAAAATGGCACTATCTTGCTCAACAGACCCGCTCCCTACATGAATTCAATCATAACTGCTTGATCTACTAAATGAGGCCATATTTTTACTGCTTTTTCCTTCTGTAGTCACCAAAGAGTGTAAACTAGATTCTATTCTGGCTCATACATGAACAGAATTATTAATTTAGTTCCAGTTGCAGGATCTTTACTATTCAAGAATTATGTAACTGGTGATCATGCATGAGCCAGAAGGAACAGCTCAAATTTCTGACCCCAGTTGCAGCTTGCTGTGAGAGTTTTTAAAAAGAGGTTTTTCCATTTATAAACCAAGCACATTTGATCGATATGTCATTCAGACACAAACATGGAACTTCATAAAGCTATTTTTACAGTGACTGTTCACATTTTAAGGAAAAAGAAGTAACTGGATTTCTCAAAATCTCTCAGGACATGTCTACACTGGAGCTGCAAGGTGTAATTTCCAGCGCAAGTAGCCATCCCCATGCTAGCTCAATCACTTCGAAAAGCAGAAGCATATCTACAGTGGCATGGCATGAGCAGCAGGATGGACCAGCCACCAAGTACGATCCCATGTGAGAGCACAGTTAGGCACTCAGATGGTTAGTCCTTCCTGCTGTGGTTATACTTCTATTTTTAGTGTGCCATCTCAATCAGAGCTAGCACAGGTATGGCTACCTGAGGCATAGCCTCAAACAGTCTACTGCAGGGGTCGGCAACCTTTCAGAAGTGGTGTGCCGAGTCTTCATTTATTCACTCTAATTTAAGGTTTCGCGTGCCGGTGATACGTGTTAACGTTTTTAGAAGGTCTCTTTCTATAAGTCTATATTATATAACTAAACTATCGTAGGTAAAGTAAACAAGATTTTCAAAATGTTTAAGAAGCGTCATTTAAAATTAAATTAAAATGCAGATCTTACGCCACCAGCCTGCTCAGTTCGCTGCCAGCCTGGGTTTCTGTTCACCTAGGCCGGCAGCGGGCTGAGCAGGCCTGCGGCCGGGACCCCAGACCT